AACAGACCCATAGCCAACATCATACTGAATGGGGAAAAATTGAAATCATTCCCACTTAGAACTGGAACCAGACAAGGCTGCCCACTATCTCCACTTCTGTTCAACATAGTGCTGGAAGTCCTGGCTACAGCAATCAGACAGGAAAAGGGAATTAAAGGTATCCAAATAGGGGCAGAAGAGATCAAACTTTCACTGTTTTGCTGATGAAATGATATTATATCTAGAAAACACCAAAGATTCAACCAAGAAACTCCTGGAACTGGAGATCCAATGACACTCTACAAAAAAGACCCCTGCACTCGAATGTTTATAGCAGCAGAATTCATAATTGCAAGGCTGTGGAAACAGCCCAAGTGCCCATCAATCCAAGAATGGATCAATAAAATGTGGTATATGTATACCATGGAGTACTATTCAGCTCTAAGAAACAACGGTGATATAGCACATCTTGTATTTTCCTGGTTAGAGCTAGAACCCATACAATTAAGTGAAGTATCCCAAGAATGGAAAAACAAGCACCAGATATATTCTCCAGCAAACTGGTATTAACTGAGTAGCACCTAAGTGGACACATAGGTACTACAGTAATAGGGTATTGGGCAGGTGGGAGGGGGGAGGGGGCGGGTATATACTATATAATGAGTGAGATGTGCACCATCTGGGGGATGGTCACGCTGGAGACTCAGACTTGTGGGGGGAGGGGGGAAAGGGCATTTATTGAAACCTTAAAATGTGTACCCCCATAATATGCCGAAATAAAAAAAAAGGTGATAAAGACTGCGAAACAATGTAAATGTAATTAATGCCACTGCACACAAAAATGATAAAATATAAAGTTGCGAATAATGGACCACGTTTTTAAAAATAAAAGTTTTTTAAATTTGCAGCTATTTTCGTGAATTTACATCAGTAAAATTGTTGACATGATAAATTATATGTCTTGAGTAGTTCGTCACAATTAAAACTTGAAAATTAAAAAATTTTTGGTGCTTTGTGTATACTTTTTAACGATTCAATAGTGCCATCTAGTGGTGGCAAAGGCACGTGATAAAATCAGTTTTGCCGCAATGAGAAAAGGAAAGAAATAGATAGTAAAAATCGTCGTTACTATTCATTTGCTTCTCTGATTTTTGAAAAGGAATCGTTTCCCAAATTTCGTCAGTGAGCGCATGGCTGTGGGAGTCTGTGGGACTTCGGGTAGACGAACGTCACATCTACCGTGGCGGGCCCTGCAGCCCGGGCGGGACCCGGTGGTGGGAGCGCAGGCTGGGCCACGGCCCGCCCGCGCATGGACAGCGCTGGGCGCCGGGTGCGGAGTGAGCGTCACGGCCCTCCCAGCCCTGGCTGTGAGCGCGGCCCTAGGAGTGCCCGCACTTCACAGAGGAGACCCTGGGCTCGGGAGGGACGTCTCCAGGTGTCTGGCCTGAGTCCGGCTCCACCACCTGCCCCCCATCCTGTCCCTGAGCACCAGGAGAGGGGGCCTGGGCTCCTCCCAGGGGATTCCAGCACCAAAATCACTCCCCAGTACCTGGCGTGGGGGTTAGAGGATGAAAAGGGTCCTAATAAGGTACCGTGTTTCCCTGAAAATAAGACCTACCTATAAAATGAGCCCTAGCAGGATTTCTAAGCATTTGCGCAATAGAAGCCCCACCCTGAAAATAAGCCCTAGTGAGGGGCCTGGCCACAGCAGCGCGTCTGCACAGCCCATGCGTGTGGTGGCGGAGCAGGAAAGAAGAGGAGCAGCCCTTCTCATCTGCCCCACAAGAGCTCTGTGGCTCCACGGGAGAGACTGGGGCCGATGGTTCTAAAGGAAATAGAGTCGCAAGAAATTCAGGATGGAACTTGGGGTTTGGAGAGTGATGATGATGTTCCAGAAGAAGACGACTTCACTATATTTGAATGAATGTAGATGGTTGTACCGTACTTAAAAAAAATAACACATCCCCTGAAAATAAGCCCTAGGGTGTCTTCTTAAGGAAAAATAAATATAAGGCCCTGTCTTATTTTCAAGGAAACAGGGTAGGTAAGGGTCAAGGAAAGTGGCAAGAAAGTCCAATTTGGTTGTCTATGAGTGTCTCCCCAACCCCCTTCAACTCCCGTCCCCCCACACACAGGATAAGATGTGTCCGGATTCTCATGGGACTCACACAACAAGGGCTTCACAGCTGCATGGTCACAGGTCCACACGATCCTGTGGACCGAATGGCAGTCTTCGCACCATCTCCTGTGAGCATGCGTCCGCACGAAACATGCTGTTATAGACTCGTTCCCTTCTCAAACTTTATGCAGCGATCCCCTAAACTGCAGAACCTCAGAACGAGACTGTTTGGAGTTGGAACCTTTGAGGGGAGATTAAGTTAAAATGAGGCTTTTGATTGGCCCTTATCCGGTTTGACTGGGGTCCTCATAGACGAGGAAGCTTTGACACACACAGTGGCACTGGAATGTGCACAGAACAGAGACCCAGTGTGGCAGGGTGTGGTGGCTCAAGCCTGTCATCCCAGCACTCTGGGAGGCCGAGGCGGGAGGATTCCTTGAGCTCAGGAGTTAGAAACCAGCCTGAGAAAGAGCAAGATCAAAACTCCCATACCCCTACTAAAAATAGAAAAATTAGCCAGGTATGGTGGTGACCACCTATAGTCTCAACTACTCCGGAGGCTGAGCCAGGAGGATCACTTGAGCCCAGGAGTTGGAGGTTGCAGTGAGCTATGATGACACCACTGCACTCTAGTCAGGGTGACAGAGGGGACTCTGTCTCAACAACAATGACCACAGGAAAAAAATAAAACAAGGAAGCAGAGGCCCAGTGTGGACACAGGAAGAAGATGACCATCAGAAGTGAGGGAGAGAGACCTCCTGAAAAACCAACCCCAAAGACTCACTGATGTTGGATTTCTATAAATCTTCATAGTAATTTGACAAGTGTATCAGAAACACTAAATGTGCTCACCCTGCAACCCAGCATATTTATCCCTGGGAATTGAATCTAAGACAGTAATTCTCAAACGTTTTAATGTCAGAACCCTTTTATATCTTTCGCAATTATTGAGGATCTCCAAGGAATTTACCCCTTGTATGATTTATATCTGTGCACATTTACCATATTATAAATTGAAGAGAAGAAACTTTTACACTTAAAACTTTAAAAAGTAACAAACCGGCCGGAATTTACCCCTTGTATGATTTATATCTGTGCACATTTACCATATTATAAATTGAAGAGAAGAAACTTTTACACTTAAAACTTTAAAAAGTAACAAACCGGCCGGGTGTGGTGGCTCATGCCTATAATCCTAGCACTCTGGGAGGCCGAGGTGGGAGGATTGCTCAAGGTCAGGAGTTTGAAAACAGCCTGAGCAAGAATGAGACTCCATTTCTACTAAAAATAGAAAGAAATTAATTGGTCAACTAAAAACATATAGAAAAAATTAGCCAGGCATGGTGGCACATGCTTGTAGTCCCAGCTACTTGGGAGCCTGAGGCAGGAGGATTGCTTGAGGCCAGGAGTCTGAGGTTGCTGTGAGCTAGGCTGATGTCATGGCACTCTAGCCCTGGCAAAAAAGTAAGACTCTGTCTTGAAAAAGAAAAAAGTAACAATCCTATTATATATTAACAAAACATTTTGTATGAACAACATTTATAATTTCAAAGAAAAATGTAGTAATAAAGGTGACATTGTGTTACATTTTTGCAAATCCCTTTAATGTTCTTCTTAGGGAGGAATGATGGACTCTCGTGTTGGCTTCTTAATTCAAACACGTGATATATTACACCGCGCAGAGAAAATGAGGCAAACAAAGTCTTAATAATCTTAGAAAAACAGTTTGGTATTGTGGACTCTATGAAAAGATTTTGATTCCCCCTAGTAATCCTTCAACTATATGTTGGGAACAAATGGTGCAAGAGATATAGAAATAATAGGCATGATTATAAATGGAGACTATCTAGGTAAACAAATGAGAGGTTTCCAATTAAAGAAACAATGGACAACCTTGCTATTTTCCTAGTTGGTGCAGCTCACTTGGGTCACAGGGCAGGACTGCCCCTCCCCCACTGCCTGTTCTCACTCTGATTCCATGGTGACTTATCTCCAAGGATACTGAACGTTGCATGGCAACCAGACCAGCTCCTCCATCCTCTCCCCCTCCAGTGAATGCCTACTGAGTTCCCGCTGTCTCTCCTGACAGCTGTAGCCATCTGCAGAGGTGTGCAGGATCGTTAAAACGGAGGGAGGCGCTGCAGTGTTCCACACCTGGCACCACAGAACCCCGGCCTCCAGCAATTCACAGCTTCAACATTAGGTCTCCCTGGGTGTCCTCTGCTGACATCACACCTTTGTGATGCTGGGTCGTCAGTGGTTGCAAGTAGCACCTGAAAATCAAGGAGGATGAGGAAATGAGGGTGGCATGAGCCGGTCTGGTTCCAAGGTTAGAGAAGTTGTGTGGTGCCCAACAGGCACATACATGCCATTATTTAGTAAGTGTTATTGTTGTAGAAGGAGGTGAAATATATATATATTGAGACAGAGTCTCACTCTATCACCTGGGCTAGAGTGCCATGGCATCATCATAGCTCACTGCAGCCTCAAACTCCAGAGCTCAGGGGATCCTCCTGCCTCAGCCTCCTCAGTAGTCACGACTATAGGCACACACCACCACACCCAGCTAATTTTTCTATTTTCGGTAGAGACAGGATCACAGTCTAGCTCAGGCTGGTCTAGAACTTCTGAGCTCAAGCAATCCACCCACCTCTGCCTCCCAGAGTGCTAGGATTATGTTAGTTTTGTTCCAGGTGGGAACCCAAAAAGTATGTGTAGGACGGAATGCAGTTAATGGAAAACTTAGGCTTGTCACACAATAGCCACAGGAGTCTGGAGAGCTGGGGGTTGTAAATCTAACAGACAGCTGCGGCTTTCCCATCCCGCCTGATAAGGGTGAAGCTACCGCTGCCCTTACTCTACAGGATGAGGCTGATACCAGGTCCCAGAGATTGGCCGCTTAAAAAATGTTATTACAGGGCTTCTGGTCCAAATACTCACTGGCCCCCCAGAGAAGCCCTCCATAAAACCCAAGGCTTTCCCCTCCCTCAGAGCGGACACCTTTTTCAGCCTCCACCCAGATGCTCAAAATATGCAGCATTTGGCTACACCTGAGCCTGCCCCTCCCTCCCTCCCTCCCTCCCTCTCTCCCTCCGGACCTAACAGATTACAGCCATGAGCACCCAGCCTATTTTATCTTTTGAAAAGAAAAAAGTAACAACCACACGCCCATTCACATGGCGATCCGTAACAAAGAATGCAACAAGCATTGGAAGGATTCAGAGAAACCAGAACGCTTCCGCACTGTTGTTGGCAGTGTGACATGGTGCACACCTTTGAAAAATAGCATGATAGTTCCCGAAAAAAATGACAAAAAGACTTACTATACAATGCAGTGAAGGAGCTTAGGAAATTTCACCCCAAAATATGATTGCTTTCTGTAAAGAATATTTTGAACTAAAGGTCCCTAGAAATCGATAGGCCTTGGAAGTGGCTTTCCCCTTTACCTGCATAACCAGAGGAACTCATCAAACAGCACAATTGACTTATTTGCTATCTCAGCATGTTGAAGGAAGAAGATCAAGAATGCAACGGGCCTGGCCCAATCGGTTTTAAACATAATCCCTGTCTCTCAGGTTAACTTAATTTCCAAAGAGACTCATTTACAAGTCGATCTGTTTCCCACCATCCATTCATCCTCCTCAGTGACCATTCATTGCCCCTCAACAGGATTACCTTGGATCCTCATCCTCCTGCCTCTACAATGAGGGTGTATCAGCTTGTAGATCCCACTGGGAACCTGGGTGATCACTCCGATTCTCCTGTGCGCGCAGTAAGCACATTTGTGGCCTCTCTCTCTTACTCGCCTGCCTCATTGTGATTTGATCTTTCAGCAAAACTTCATGGTGCCCAGGGGAGGTTTTCCTTTCTGCCACACAAAGCTACATTTAATTTAGCAACCCAAACTCTCACAGTTCATGACTTGGTGGAAGAAACAGATAAACAGTCCATTTTATCAGCATGAGAGATGGGGAGCAAGAGAGCAGCCCCTCCCCCACTGCCTGGCCTCACTCTGGTTCCATGGCGACTCACCTCCTAGGACACTGAGCCTTGCTTGGCAACCAGACCGGCTCCTCCACTCTCTCCCCTCCAGTGAACACTTACTGCATTGCTGCTCTTTTATCCTCACATCTGAAACTGTGTGCCCAGGTACTGAAGAGACTTTAACGTCTCCCTTAAAGATACTTTAAGGGAATCACAGCAATATTTGATATCTGACGCCACATAAACTACAAGCTCCAAGGGTTCATGGCTTGAACATTAGATGTCTCTACATGTCCTTTGCTGACATCATGTCTTTATGATGCTGGGTTGTCAGTGGTTACTGTGAAGAAAAGCAATTATCACCTGAAGACCAAGGAGGATGAGGAAGTGAGGATGGCATTGTCCAGTCTAACTCCAAGTGTGAGAAGTTGTGCAGTGCCCAACAGGCACAGACACCCTATTATTAAGCAATTATCACTATTGAAGAATGAAGGAAATGTTAAGACATCAAGGCTCATTTCTTGTTTTTCATGAACATATAACTTAGCTTCTTTCTGCAAGTCAGGCAACCCCAAAGCGGGCACAGTCACAGGTTCTGCTGTAGGTTTTTCTACAGGCATTGTGACAGTCTTTGGTCCAGACTAGCAGCTCCACATCTGTCCCTTTAAGGGCCTCGTACAAGGGCTTTGACATTAGTCCAAAGTTTGGGATCCAGGTGTGACAGAACCCTGCCATTCCTAGGAATTTGCGCAGTGGTTGCAAGTTTCCTCGCTAATTTGGAATCCCAGATAAGTAACCTGCTGTTTGCAAATCTGTCCAGTTGCAGGTTCCACGGGTGCCCCACTAAGCTCTCATCACATGGGGCAGGAGAGCCCTTTTAAGCCCCTGAGGCAACACAGTCCAGCAGCACCATGAAGCCACCCTAGTCCCAGGATCCTGCCATTCAAATGCACAATGTCATTAATGGCACATGGATCCTGCATGAATCTATCTTTCTGCACATCCCAGGGTACTGCCAGTCTGCATGGCCTTCCAGCATGGCCACCGAGAACGTCAGGGTTGCCCGGGTCAGTGGTGGCAGCAGAGCAGCGTGGGCTCCAGCAGCGGGGCCCAGGGCCTCCTGGGCCCATGGTGATGAGCATGACTGCTGAGCCGCTGCCCGGCCCCCATCCCTGGCCTGACTTTGGAGCACTGTGCGTGGCTGGTGCTGGGCACCAGGGCAGCAGCCAAGGGGGTCCTGGGCCACTTCTGCCCACACAGCCTGGAGTCCCCACTTGCAGTCCTGTGAGGATATCTGGATGGGAGCCCTGGTCTCCCCCCTTCATCATCTGAGTCTTGGACCTAGAGAACCATTTGCCCTCCTGGGGTTTCTTGTCACCTGGAACATTTTCCAGCCTCAGGCAGTGCTCTTTCCAATGCCTTCCCTGTTACAGAAAGTACACTGAACCTCCCCCTGGGGCAGCTTTTTTTTTTTTTTTTTTTTTTTTTTTTTTTTACGTAACCTAAACATTTTTAAGGGGCAGCTTTTTTTTTTTTTTTTTTTTTTTGCTGTTTCCAACCAAGGCCCCTTGATTGATATGGCTAGGGTTAGGGTTAGGGTTTTAGTGTCTGTTCTTCCCTCGCGTTACCCACTTCACAGGCGATACCAGCCGGCTGTGAGGGGTTCGTGCCAATTGCTCCTTCCCCACGCCGTGCCTTCCTCCGTACATCTGGAGCGCTCTGCCCTAGAGGAGTCACATTTATCAATCAAGCACATATTTTCACGGGCCCCCTGGGTCCGCATCTGTACATTTCCGATATGCCTGATAGATGTGTTCCAAAAACTCACAGGAATCTTCATTAGCTTTTTTTTTTTGAGACAGAGTCTCACTCTGCTGCCCAGGCTAGAGTGCCGTGGCGTCAGCCTCGCTCACAGCAACCTCAATCTCCTGGGCTCAAGAGATCCTGCTGCCTCAGCCTCCCGAGTAGCTGGGACTACAGGCATGCGCCACCATGCCTGGCTAATTTTTTGAATATATATTTTAGTTAGTCAATTAATTTCTTTCTAGTTTTATTAGAGATGGGGGGTCTCACTCTTGCTCAGGCTGGTTTTGAACTCCTGACCTCGAGCAATCCGCCCGCCTCAGCCTCCCAGGGTGCTAGGATTACAGGCGTGAGCCACCGCGCCCGGCCTTCATTAGCTTTTTGTTGTCATTCTTGGACATGGTTTAAACTCTTCTGTCTAGGAACTCCCCTCTGGAGGCCTGCTAGAATCCACTTTCGGTAAGGATTCACCTCATACCATCAGCGTCCAAATCAGGGTCCCAATTTGTGTAAGTCCAGCAATACCCTTCTGCTGTCCTGATGCACCCAAGCCCCCTATCTGAGGCTGCACAGTGGAAATTGCCCGGCGCCGGCTGTGGGCGCCCTTGGCCAGAGTTCTCCGCCAGGTCTTAGAAGGAGAGACCATTCCCATTCTGAGTGTTAGTTTAGTAGGCATCAAACTAAAGAATCAGTCCCAGTCTCACCCCTCGCTGGCCCTGCTCATGGTGGCAAGATGGCAGCAGTGGCACAGGCAGTGACAGGGGCAGCTGCCCCAGCTATGGCTTCCTGCCAGGCAGCTTCCTGGGCCAGCTGCAGGCCTCTGGCCGGGATGTGGGGAAGCTGCTTCAGTGCACTTGGTAACCACCACATCAGGGGCCCCAGCAGCGTGAAATCAGGTGTGGCTGAGCCCCTAGCACCTTCCCCGGAGGGTGGGGAGCTGGCACTGGGGGAAGGGGTTCATGAGATCCAACCTGGTTAATCCCTCCCTGATTTTCAGCTTCTTTGTTATGCAATTGCATGAAAGATTGTACATAGGGGATCTCGTCCCATTTACCTGACCTTTGACAAAATAATTCCAGTTGTAATGTTACGGCAAGTGTTACAGCTAGCGTTACAGCTCTTGACCAGGGAAAGAACCCAGCTGCACACCGAGAGTTGGAGAAGTCTTTACTCCTCCAGCAGGCTGAACCAACTTCTGACTTCTGAACCTCCCCCTTCTTTGTTCTCTTCCTGCTTTTATACCCTTGGTAGGCGTCCAATCAGCAACAAGTTTTAACATCCAATCAGCAACAAGCTTTAACATCCAATCAGCAACAAGCTTTAACATCCAATCAGCAACAAGCTTTAACATCCAATCAGCAACAAGTGTTAACATCCAATCAGCAACAAGCTTTAACATCAATCAGCAACAAGGGTTAACATCCAATCAGCAACAAGCTTTAACATCCTGGTGCTGGACCATTATCCCTGTCAGTAAGATAGTAGAGATAATTGAAAGTTCCATTCAACAGGCCACTTCTCCCCACACTCCAGCTCATGCATTGGATTACGGTAACACCATTCTCTTTTAGACATAGACTTACAGCTACGAGTTGGCCATTCAGCCAAGATTATCCCCAAGGGCTTTCAGATGGAACAGAAATAGAGCCTCCCATGTTGACACAAAAGAACAAGCACAGCATGACAAGTAGACAAGGCAAGGAATTCCCAACTGGAACAATCTCAAATGCCAAACCCTTAACAAACAAATGGAGACCACACAATGAGGACCAAATCCTCAAACAAGAACCAGCATCTCCTAATCCAAAAGGGCATGAACTCCCAGGTCCCTGAGTTCCACTCAACCATGACTTCCACCCCCAAATGGTGCCTACAGACAAATGCCCCACCATAGGACTGGAAGGCACAAATCCTTCCCCAAATGGGTGGAATCACAGTTCTCAGTGTGCACACTGGAGAAGTTATTGACTCAAATGGCTGAGGCATTGTGACACTTCCCAAATCTGTTTCCTTTTCCTCAAAAAAAAGTTCAGGTTGGTGAGAAGGCGGGGAGTAACATGAGTTGCCCAGAGCTAAACAGGCTCGGGCAGCTGCCAGGGTGGTCCTGTATTCTCCCACCCAACGAGACACTCCTCCCACTGGCGAAGACCCGTGGTTTGACCCAGGGCTGCACCCTACTTCTTCCAGCCGCAGCAGCAGTCATGGGTGCTATCCCAATGGGGTGCAATGGGCTACCCAAGGATGCCAAATTCTGTTACCAAAAGTTCAGTACCTGTCCCCGCAGCAGAATGAAGAATGAGGACAAGTGGTTTGAGGAGAAGGAAAGAGAAGTTTATTAATTTGCCAGCAAATGAACTGGGAAATAACCCAGCTGCACAGCTGTTATACAGACTCTTATCTTTAAAAACCCAGATGTTATACTCCTCAGAGTATAACAGACTCTTATCTTTAAAAAAAATCCTGGCCAGGTGCAGTGGCTCATGCCTGTAATCCTGGCACTCTGGAAGCCAAGGCAGGAGGATCGCTCTAGGTTAGGAGTTCGAGACCAGGGGTGTATTGCAACTAGAGTGTGGCAGAGTCCAGATCTGGCAGCCAACAACTGTGGTCATGGCACCAGCAAAAATCCTGATTGGGGAGGAGGCCTATGAGCAAATAAGGGAGAGATTGAAGAATGAAGTCACTCAGATGAAGGAGCAAGTACCTGGCTTCTCACCAGGCCTGGCAATTTTACAGGTTGGCGACAGAGATGATTCCAATCTTTATATAAATGTGAAGCTGAAAGCTGCTGAAGAGGTTGGGATCAAAGCCACTCACATTAATTTACCAAGAACATCCACAGAATCTGAATGTAAAGTACATTAGATCTTTGAATGAAGACTCCACTGTACATGGATTCATACTGCAGCTACCTTTTAGATTCAGAAAATACTATTAACACTGAAGCAGTGATCAATGCTATGGCACCCGAAAAGGATGTGGATGGATTGACTAGTATCAGTGCTGGAAACTCGCTAGAGGTGATCGAAATGACTGTTTCATCCCTTGTACGCCTAAAGGGTGCTGGGAACTCATCAAAGAGACAGGGGTGCAGATCGCCGGAAGGCACGCCGTGGTGGTCGGGTGCAGTAAAATGGTAGGGGCCCCAGTGCACGACTTGCTTCTGTGGAGCAATGCCACGGTGACCACCTGCCCCTCAAAGACTGCCAATCTGGGCGAGGAGGTAAATAAAGGTGACCTCCTGGTGGGTGCAACTGGTCAGCCTGAAATGGCGAAAGGAGAGTGGATCAAACCTGGGGCAATAGTCGTTGACTGTGGGATCAATTGTGTCCCAGATGATACCAAGTCAAAGGGGAGAAGGGTTGTGGTGATGGGGTAGACAACGAGGCCAGAGAGCGGGCGGGCTTCGCCACTCCTGTTCCCGGCGGCGGCGGCCCGTGACGCTGGCGATGCTGACGCAGAGCACGGTAGAGAGTGCAAGGCGTTTCCTGGAGAAAAACAGGCCAGGAAATGGAGCATTCAGTATAACAACCTTAACCTGAAGACACCTGTTCCAAGTGACATTGCCATACCATGATCTGGCAGAAAAGCCATTGGCACGCTGGCTGGAGAAATTGGCCTGAAGAGGTGGGATTGTGTGGTGAGACAAAGGCCAAAGTCCTGCTGTCAGCACTGGAACGCCTGAAACACCAGCCTGACGGGAAACACGTGGTGGTGACTGGAATAACGCCAACGTCCCTGGGAGAAGGGAAGAGTACAACCACAGTCGGGCTGTGCAAGCCCTGCGTGCCCATCTTTTCCAGAACGTCTTTGTGCGTGTTTGCAA